ATGGATGATGGATGGATGGATGGATGGATGGATGGATGGATGGATGGATGGATGGATGGATTAAAAAACAATGGAGTTTTTGGGGGAACAGCAAAGTTAAGTCTCACAGGACGTTTACTTCCCTTTAAGTTCACATGAAATTCACAACACAAGTATGGAGATAAATTAGTCTCAAAGGTAGTCACACAGGCGTACAACAAGATTTGCATGAGTGCAATAAGATCCATGAGTGTACCACAAGTTTTACAAATGCATAAACAGTTTTTCAAATTTACCCATTTCAAATTGCACAAGTAGAAATATTCTGCACATACCAATTGTCAAACACACATGTTCAAATCACCTGCTGTGGACGACTCAAGCACACAGATTTGTTTGTCTGTGAATATCACTTTTCAAAAGTGTTATAAACTCAATCATCCAGGTAGATAACAACAAAAAAGGTTAAATCATGTCATCTGGATCAGTTTCTTTAAGTGAGAAATGTTTCGTCTCCCATCCAGAGGACTTCGTCAGTCTATGGCCTGTCAACCAGATCTGTCCTATAGGTAGCCTTCACTGCTGTGTTTCAAGCCAACCTCCTGTTGGAAACTCAGAAGTAGACTTTTTACACATGCACCCATTCAAAACAATCAATCCTCATGTACAACAGTCAAATGTTTTAGGCCAGATTGCCACTTGATACTCACAGAAACAGCCCGTGGACATCTCTGAGGATAACTTTAGAGACTTTCTTACCGCTTCAGATTTACAAAGGTAATGCTGCGTTCAAGGCTGGCAAAAGCTGGGACATCTGAGCGTTACTATACTGGGTTATTGGGAAAATGCACATTTTTAACTTGGCACAGTAGCTCATAACCCCTACATTAAAACACATATGCTTAGAGTGACATTAATGGATTCCATCCATCCATCCATTATCTTTACCCGTTTATTCCATTTTGGGTCACGGGGGTCGCTGGTGCCCATGTCCAGCAATCACTGTGCGAGGGGCGGGGTACACCCTGGACGGGTCGCAAGTCCATCACAGGGCCACATAGAGACAAACGAGACAAACAACCATT